TCTGAAATCCTAGCCAGTTTTTCTTTGTTATACATGTTACCTACAGTATATACTTTTTTAGTATGAAAAGAATTAAGTTCCATTTAATCCTTTTTGCAACTGTCCTTGTCCGGTGTTTCTTCTTTGTGTGAGATTTTCTTAAGTTTGTGTGAAAGTTTTAGTTTTAAATACATCTGTGCGTAAACAAATGTAAACAGTTCTCTCTTGATAAAATGCCTCTTTTAAACATCCTTTAAGTATCTTCCCGTTTCTCATTGTCATCGCCACCTTTCCCATTAAATTTAAACGCATGCATTAGCTCATGATATAAAAAAAGTTTCTTCTTCATGCATTCTGTTTTTGTTAAGATTTTGGTTGTTTAAAAATTGTTAGAAAGATTCACGCAGGAGATTATTCTAGGAGCTAATAGTTTGAACGCGAACACAACATACAATAGCAAATTTTCATTCCAATCAGTGCATAAATCTCAGTCTGTAAATTGGAGCAGCAAAACAATAATTCCACTGATTAGCCCCTTTCCATTTCTTGTAAGTGAACTGTTTATACTGTTAAGCACCTCTGGAAAAGAAGAAAAGCCAAAACAGCCTGATTAGTCAAAGAGTAATTGGATAACTTCATTTCACCAGGAGGAAGAATTGCTTGATAACAGCTTACACCGAAGTGTAGTGGTTCTGTCGAGTTGAATGGATAATGTGCCCATTATTGCAACTTTTTAGTAACGATAATTTTGTATTTTGTATAACACTATAATCTTATTGGCAATATGGTATTTAATAAGTCATACTGTTTCAAAATCAAAGTATAATTGTTTAGTTTGGTGGCAGTTCTGGTTCAATTGCATAACAATAACATAACAATCATAACAATATGATAATCTTGTTTCCTCAGGAAAGAAAAGGGGTAATAGCACCAGTAGTATTAATAGTTGCAATAATAATAATTAGTAACAGTTTTGTTATTCTCTAAAGAATGTGAGTGATATAATGTGCTGTTGTTTTTGAAGAATATTATTATATCCTAAGGAGGACTGACAGTGGGAATCTTATTTCCTGCTCCTAATACAAGCAGGCAGGTTTGATCGACCTGGGCTCATCACTGTGCCTGAGAGGGGCCAGGAGTCTGTGATGTGTGAGCGTGTTACCTTCTCTGGACAGGGGGTGTTATAATGCATCTGTTGTCTCCATAGCGCTGGGGTGGAGTAGAACAGGGACTGCTAGGGACCAAGCAGGAGAGCAGGGATCATCTTCCTCTGACTGGAAGGCTGTAACCCACTCTGATTATCTCTCCAAGGCAATACCTTCACAACAGCCACAGAGGGAGATTCCTCCGAACTGCAGGGAACGTGGAAATTAAATTAACCAGGCCCGGGCAGAGGAGCTGTCCCTGGGACATCTGAAAGCCAAGCTGTAAACCCCCAGTAACACACTGAGACGTTTGTATAATTAGGTATACTGGCTTTAAATTGCAAAGTCGTACAGAAGTATTAAAACGGTTTATTGATGAACATTCCTTCAATGTATTTTTCAGAGATGTATAAGGTGACACATTGGTATAACTTATATTATTGCAATAAATACAGGTTGTTCTTGATTGGGGTGTTTTTCCTGAACAATTAGCTATAATTCAAACACCTCTAGGTTAATAATCTAATTCCCCATTACAATGAATGTAATTGAGGGGGTGCATTCTAGGATCCACTCCCAGTCAAAGATTTGAAGCCGTCAATAAAAACAATTACACGCGCTTATGCGCATAAAATTCCTATGTAGTTGACCCAAAGTAATTTTTAACTAAATGTTTGTTTAGCAGTTTCTTATAAAACATGAAGGGAAGACTTGTAAGTGTTGTTAGGAAATGTAATAGTGTCCATACATGCATTGGAACTGCACAACTGTCTTTTAGTCTCAGTCCAAGCTTTAAATGCCATTTAATATAAAGGCTTGCAGTTATTATTAAAAAATCTTTTCTGATGGCATTAGCTAATTATTAATTGATAATTGTTTTTTAGTCATTTTATTTATTCAATGTTCTGCATAAGCACCCCCCCCCTTTGGAAAATAATTGGGTATGTTCCTCTTTTAACATACTCACATTAACAAAGGATTTTTCTGGCCGTCTCGCACCTTAACACTAAAAATAAAGCATCTCGTATTATTAATGAAAGTCTCATTAAACCTAAGAACACATTAAGGTAAGTTCCTTCATGTTTTTTTATGGCATTTTTAATATCCAGTGAGACAGAATCTCTATGTCTATTCAGTGGCTATGGGGCACTGAATTGTATTTTGTTTTTGTTAGCGGAACTAATTGTTCCCCACATTTTGCGTGTCATTGGACATTATTTCACTAGAAACTTCCACGTGAGTGTTCAGGTTTTCAAAACCTCTTTCATGGTGAAATATATCAATGTTTCTTTTTTTCAATAACTTTAAAGAACAATGTTTTATTTACAAATTCTTTGAATTCCTTTTCATTTTCAAGATTTTCTTTCACACCGTAACCTTTCTTCAGGGTGGTGTTGTCTTTATTTTTGCTTTTCCGCAAAATAAATATCCTGTAAGATGGAGACATTTGCTGGAAATTTTCCAAGAGGCTGAGATAACGGGAGATGAACAGTGGCTGGGAGAACACTGAGTCAGAGATTTCACAGCTGCTTGTGTGTCACCAGAATGACGCTATTCATCCTGGTGCACAACTGGGCACGCTCAGTGTATCTTGTCTCAAAACCTCTGTCAGGTTGCCTGTTGTCTACTGCTGCCAAGTGTGTTAAAGTGAGAGCTAACCTGTCCTGAATTAGGAAATGGTGTATATTTTTGAGGCTCGTTAAACCAGAAATGCGTACATCAAGAGCAATTAAATTGAGAAATACCTGTATGTTGAACCCAGTGGGTTTGGCACTTTAATGCATATTGTCAAAAATACATAGTAAAATATGAATTTGTTTTGTGTCACTTGTGATTAATTGGTGAAATGATCTCTTGTACAACAGGAGTGATTTGGCTCATGCTGCTTCTAGATCCGTTTTAAAAAATTTTAAGTAAGGGGGTTGTCGAGACATGCCCACATGCTTCATGCGCACATCAAATGCTAGAAAAATAACTGTTGCAGTACTACATGCACATCATTGCAGGTATCTTTTCAGTCATTGAGAAGTTTGACAACACTGCCAGAAAAGCATAGGTATCTTTGATGATAGATTGAGTCAGTCAATTTCAACTCGAGCGCCATGTGTTAAACACTCAGTAGATGGAACAGAATAAGTAATTCAAAGTTTATTTTTCATGGAATATATGTAACACAGTTCTTGTTTAAAATTGTTAGGTAACATACTGCTTTTGATAGTGTTGAATAATGTGAGAATCTTATCTGCTGATCACAATAAAACATTAAGAAAGCTTCCACTGATGCATGTTAAACCTTAATGCTATAAATAGGCTTGACCTTGATTTAACCTTCAGCTGTCAAAAAGCACTCTGTTTTAAATAAGGTGATGTTTTACCTATGGTAAATTAACAGTAAAGGTAGGTTGCATTATCTTGCCACATGTTCTGAAAGGGCGGGGGTCAGAGAGCATACTTAAGTGATATCTGGTTGTTTTACCCTGTTGTTTCCTGTTGGCAGTTTTAAATTATGGGCCTAACTGCTCTTTGAATATGTGATAATAGCATGTGCTTCTAATAAGGGCCAGCACAATTTTGTTAGGTTTGTGTGAATAGTTGTCACTCATATGTGACAAATGCACCTTCTTCTGCTCTGTGGATGGCCTTCAAACCCATACCCTGGAATCAGGGCGATAAAATTAGCCGCTGTGTAAATTGTGTCTCTAAGTGGTTCATTATCTAATCACCATCAGGACCACAGCAACAAAGCAGATTGATTTGGAGAGGAGGGACTGATTTCAGCCCATTTTTGAAGTTCGTGTTTCATGGAAACTGCATGTTATGTCTCATCTTCAAGATATATCCTCTGTAAACATTTTCATTTGTTTTTCGTACTTTCTGATTTCTATAGAGCACTCTGAGCAGTGAACAAAATATTCCATCCCTTGCTTGGGGACAAGCACATTGACATGTGCATTGCTTATTGTGGCTGTATAATTAATTCAGAATTGCATTTCACTTAGGATGTTCTGGTAATGTTCTTTATCGAGGGCGTCTCGGCTATTTGTCTGAATTCAAGGGAGATACTTTCCATTCATGAATGAGTTTAATGCTGAAGTACAATGAAATTCAAGCCATTCCTGTTTTCAGAATGTGGAGATTTTTGTGCTAGAGCAGTGATGACCTGAGTAAGCTGATCATCATATTCATTTAACCAGTTTAACAATTTTGATGATTTCAAGAGACTTGAAAAAAACCTGCTGGATTCTCAGTCTCACGGACTGGAGTTGTGTACTCATGCGCTAGGTTGTTAAGTGTGTTTAAAAACAAGGAATTTAGCTCTTTAAGAAGACTGAAGCTATTACACACTTGCTTTCCATATCTTTCCAGGCTTGACTAAGAGTCAACTTTAATGAAGACTATAGTCCTTGTTTTTCTTTCAGTTGAAATTGCAATATGTGTTATTTGTTTACTGGTGTCTCGCATCACAGCACAGCATTTATGATAATGCTGTGTAACTTGTTAAAGTCGATCTCTATCTTTTTATCTCATATATATACGAATATCGAAATGTGTAGAATTTACTGTACTGTTGCAATTATTATGGTTTTAATAGGTTTGTGTAGCGAGACAGCAAGTGAAGCTATTCTCTTGAACCACTAAAAGTGACTGTACTTCCTGAAAACCAGATCTAAATTTGTTGAATCCGGGTGTGAGTTGTAAACCGTAAGACTGTATTATACAATTACCGCCTTTTAAGAAGCATTCTTTTGGTTAACATTCGGGCAGATAAAGCAATATGTGGTTTGCGCTCTCCTGGTGAATAGAGATGGGGCGTTAAGTTCTTGAGTTTGAGTACTTTGGGCCCAGATGGCTCATTCTCAACTGTGCTCGTCACAGGAGCGTTTGAAGACGAAGACATCATCCACGTGGAAGGGAACGTCGATCCGGTCCGGGACATTGAAATCATTCACGAGGAGCTGAGGCTAAAGGACGAAGAGCTCATTGGACCGATAATTGACAAACTGGAGAAAGTGGCCGTAAGGGGAGGAGACAAGAAGCTGAAGCCGGAATACGTGAGTCATAATCCGCCGTCTCTCACTGTACAAGCTCCCACGAGTCCTGGAGCTGCAGTAGAAATCATATCATCTCGCGGCGCTCGGTGTACAAACATACGTGCAGTTTTCATTTTTGAATCTCCCCCGTCTTCCCCCTTTTGTTTTCAGAGATTGAAAGTGATAAGGGGTCAGAGGGCAGCTGCAGTAGAAATCATTAATAGTGAGTTACTTATTCAGCTGCTAACCTAGGGTCGCAGTGCTGGGCTAATGAAAGTGCTTCTGCAAGCTTCTTTTCATCTAGCGTAATACTCAAATCACTTGACGGTTCCGTCTTGCTGTGAATTTACTAATGCAAAACAGCGACAACCTAGAATCCTTCATGTAAGATAATGTAGAAATGTTTAGCATCTGTTTTGACGGTGCATTTCAGTGTTGCAGTATACAACAGAATGCATTACACTGTTGTAGCTTCTTCCCTGTTATTTTACTACGTCTTTTAACTAACTTAGTGTCTCAAAATGAACATTTTAAGACAACAACTGTGGCTGATCGATTCTATATGTGCATCTTATGGGAATTCCTAGGGGCATTTACATCCATTTTGTTTCTTTTTTTGTTGTGTTGCTTGTTGTGCAATTCAGTCCTAAGCAGATAGGAATTTTGGTTCAATGGGTCTGTGTTTGTCCTTTTACTTTTTCTGTCCCTGGGAATACATTTCTATACCGTGTATATGTATATGTTATGAGCAGATACTGAAGTCAGGCTCTTGGTTAATGCCTAGGTGCGTCCACAGATTGCCCTGCTACCACAGGCAGAAGCTGAAAACATGCTTTGTTTGCTACGTGACTGTGTGTTCTGCTCATCTCCATTCACAACAAAAGTGACTGAGGATGCTGAAGCTGTACTTAGGGCTTTCCATTCTCAAAACTTGATTATAATCAAGCGCTTTTTTAAACAGCTCCCAGGCAGTGTGCAAAGAGCCTGGCTTTGGCATCTGCCTGTAACAGGTGTGTGTGTCCACTGGATCTGAATGGAGCTGACCCAGAACCTTCCAAGAATGGGTCACTTAACTAGGTGGAGCTCTGCTCTATTTAGGCTCTTTTATCCAGTTTGTCCAGCTTGTCTGCATGCTTCCGAAATTCTAAAATCACATTCGGTCTGCTGCTTTGCTAACAGTTTTGCATGTTTTTTATTACAAACAATAAAGGCAGATTTATATTGCTTAATATATGTAGGATCTCACTTCAGAACAAGTGCTTTTTCCTTGGTCTCTTCAAGATAAGGACTTTATGAATGAGGACTTAGGCTGAAGCTTGAACATAGCTAATTTACTGCCTGTTCTTGGCTTTGTGGACGTAGGCCGTCTCCCCTCGCTTTACTTTTAGTCTCTTTGTTAAGTTGCAGAGGGAGTCTTAGAAATGTGGCATTTTATTTTTGGGGGGGAGCGTTTCGGCAACCTGTGTTTTGCGCAAGATCGCTTACGCTCCTCTATCAGTGCTAAAGGTGAATTTGATTCAGTCTCAGCAGCGAATTATCCAGCGAGGGAGGTAAACGGAGTTGTCAGCTTTCACTATGTGCCCAATTGTTGGTCTGCTGTATGTAAGCTTTGGCCACTCATTAAATTAACAAGCTGGGCTATTTCACCTGCTGGATCTATTAGAACTCTGTTCCCTCAGTATAATCCCCTCCAACACCGGGTTTCACACTGGCTGCTGGAGAAGCCATTCAGTGTTTGCAGGTGGCTACTGACGCACATAATTGCTGACAATTTTAGGCAATGAATAAAAATGATCTACATTACTTGTCAAAGGTTGTATATGCGGTGCCAAGTGAAATCTATGGGAAGCCTTTTTAGAGTTTAAAGAATGGTTCTTATCAAGGGTTGCACAGAGCTTGGGAGAAATAATGAATTTCAGAATAAACCAATTTTGGTATTTGACATGTTCAGCTGAGTTTTATTTTAATGAAAATAAAAGGGGTTGTTAATATGGCTTTCAGTTTGATTGGAAGTTGCTTTTATCTATATTTACTTTTTCCTCCTTCCTGCTTTGCCTTGACTATAGCTTGAAATGTTAAGATGTCCGGTTGACTGAAATGAAACATTTTTGAAGAGGCTTTGTTACGATCGTAATGTATGGACATGAAATTGTCAAATGTGCTGTTCTGTAGCCCCTTTCAGAATGGCCTACCGGAAAGGCAGAGTTTTCTTACGTGAATTGGCTTGCTAACACCTTAAACCAGGAGTTGTTCATGATTTTTTCTGACCCTTTCAATAAGGTGTTAAAAATTTTAAAAATATTGCTTCATGTTCTTTAAGGCTGTTCTGAAGACAGTTCTTAGCTTTCTCAGATATTTTTTATTAAAAACATTTTCTGGAGCAGCCATGTGCAGTTAAAAGCTATTGTCTTTATTTTTAAATATATTTCTATTTTAAATAAATTGCTTTCTTTTTAAATCTATTTTATACTGGAAGGAAGTTTATCCCTGAGCTGTGAGCTCTCTGTTCACGCAAAGTTAATTTTCACAATCTCTTTGGGGGGGGGAGCTACGTTAATTAACAAAGATGGTGGCTTTACGTGTCTCTCATTTGATGGAAGGTGCCTAGACAGTCCTTAACCAAAAAAAAAATAGATGACCCTTCAACGGTCTCTTTCTGCCAGAGAATCTGTTTGACCTCCTTGGACCCGCGGGCCTTTTATTAACACCTGCCTGTTAGGAGAGGCTCGACACATGCGGCTAGCAGTTTCATGGCTGCGAAACTGATGAGGAAAACCTCGAAAGGGTTCAGTTTGTGTCACTTGCCGTTTGCTGTTTCCATTTCACAGATGATTAATCTTTCTGTGAGGAAAGGCCAGAGAAACAAAGTGCACTGGGCTCGTCCTGCAGTTGCTTCTGCTCAATGCACACTAGCTCACTAACTAAAAGGCCTTTAGAATTCCTGTGGAGAAAGATGTTCTGAAAGTGAATGCAGCTGGTTGGAGGTCATCAGCTTGAGGTTTTTGCCATTGTGTAATTGAGGCTTTGGCAGGCTTCTTCTTTCTCTGTTTTTTTTTTTTTCCCCTTTGAGGGGAGTGCGATTGTGGAGTGATTGGGGGGAGGGGAGCGTGAAGGAGGTGGTGAAGTTGACAAAAAAAATTAATGCAATATATTAAAGGGGAAAAAAGCGCTTTGACTTGTTCCGCTAATTTCTGTGGGGCTGGATCAACAATAATAGGCTCAATTTCTTTATTACAAATTTTATAACTCCCTCCCTCCCATTTTCCCACCCATTTCCACTTCCAGCTTCTTTAATAGCAGAGTTATCTTGCCTGTGGTCTTAACCCACAATGGCTGAAGTAATGAATGTGGCAAATGCAGTTAGGAAAAGCTTGATTTTTTTTTCCTGCTGGATAAGCTGAAATTAATTGGTACCTTCCTTTTGTATACCGCACACTAAATCGGCGTTGTGGAAAGCAGAGTGCGAAAAGGGGACATAAACCGCCACTCTCGCGAACTTTTCCCCCATGAATGTGTACGTTTAACAGATTTCCGTGCCTCGAACCACTCTGCTTCTTGCGTTAAAATAAGATTTATCGTGCGTTCCCTTTTATGATAAACGTTTCGAATCGAGTGCTCTATAAGGCATTTGCTTCTGATTTGGAATTTAAAAAAAAAAATCCTTTGTGCATCCTGTCCTTGTCAAAATTCAGCCTTTCCTGTTTGAATATGAGCATGCATTGTTCATTTTGGCATCAGGATGCCATGCATTTAGGAAATAATTACCCAGTATCCTGCTGGGTTTATATTCTTTTTCATCTACTTTAATGACTTCTTTTTCATTCCTTTTTAATCCTGAACAGGACATAATGTGCAAAATCAAGAACTGGGTAGAGGATGAAAAGAAACATGTCCGTTACTGTCACGAATGGAACGACAAGGAGGTAGGTCTTTGATGTACACTCAGATTTATTAATATGCCTTTTCTTGGAATCTTTTAATCTGTGCTGCATGTTGGATTCCTTCTTTTAGTACAAAGGTCTGTTATGCAAATTGTGACTTAATGTGCATGTTTCTTTTATTCTTTTTATTTAATTTTATTTTTATGGGACTAATGACATCTGTCCGGAATGCAAGCAAGCTTTGGAGATGCTGCCTGTTGCGTCTAACCTAGATTTGAATTCAGTCATCTTTTCATTTTCTTTCTTTAAATTCATCTCCTGTGTAGTTGTGAACGAATTTTTGAGCTCTTGTGTTCCTTCTGTCATTGTTTCAATTGTGTTTTTTTTTCTGCCACAGATTGAAGTATTGAACAAATACTTGTTTTTGACTTCCAAGCCAATGATTTATCTCGTCAACCTGTCTGAAAAAGACTACATTAGAAAGAAGAACAAATGGTAAGTTTGGCAAAATAAACGTTAATTTGTTGTTGTTGTTGTTGTTTTTATCTGATGAACAAGGCTGCGAGTTCATATTCCTGTTTCAAGACTATTTAAAAAGACCACTGAGAAACTGTTTTATTTGGGCTTTAAAAACATAACATTTCTGTTTGTTCAGGTGTCTTGTCACTTTGGAAAGTATGTTGAAGAAAGCCTGAATGATGGTCCTTCACTTAAAACTTAAGTGGTGTGAAAAGACATTGTATAGTTTAAATGTTTTTGCCTGCCTGTTTACCTCGATGAAATTCAGATCAGTATTACTTCTGCGTCTTTGTGAAAGAACTGCCATAACTTCCAGCTCATAAGTGAACAAGCTTTGGGATCAGTGTGCGCTGATGCCATTCTAATGTGGCCAGCGAGCTCTCCCTTTTCTTAGATACTCACATACAAATGAAGGTAAGGTTCCATCAGGCAAGATATGCTTTGGATTAAAACCTAACCTGATCTGACACAAAACAACGCTCTGAAAGTACATGGCCACTGCTCTCTGTAGTTCATTAAGTACTTAAAAGCACATGGTTTCAATTTACCATTAAAAAATTTCTTATTTCCATATGATATCAAAGAGTCAAAAAGCTTTAAACTAAAAAATAAACATTCATAGACTAGAAGCCAAAGCAATAATTAATGTCATGTGGGTATCTTTAATAAATCATAAGAATTCTTTCATTGAATATCATGCTGTCCAGAATTGTCCCTCTTAAGGCTTAGGTTGTTTTCCCCATTTGAAGGCAGTCTACTTTTTTCAGATGTTGCGGTACTGTCCATATAATATTAATAAATAATGGCTTCTGTTGTCCAGTACCATTTGATTTATTAGAAAATGGCCCCAAAACAATTGTGGAGCAATGCATTACACTGGTACAGTATATATGGATTAATGCGTCTTTTTTGCCAAATGCAATGGTTCCCAACTCTGTGCTGGGAGGAACTCAGTACCTGCTTTGTCATTCCACACAAGCTCTAAATCTCACAAGTTAATTAATGACTTAATTGTTCTGCTTGCCTGTGTAGACCCCTAAGGGTCTCAAATACCATTCTGCAAGGGGACACCTTCCATCAGTTTCAGCACATAGAACTTTAAACAGCTTCTCCTCAATTTGGTTGCCATTAATTCTCACTTATGCTGCTTTTACTTGCTGATCAGTTTGATTTTTCTTTCTTCAAATGTCCAGTGGGTTTGATTTCAGACCCCACGACTGAATGATTGCTGTTCTGAAACTTAGAAATTGGTACAGGGTTCATGTCAGTTTCAAATACCATTTCAAATACACTTTTGGTGCTGAAAGGAAATTGATGAATATGCTGGGAATACAAATCAAATAGCCTGTTCCTCCAGGGCTAGTATTGGAAATCACTTGTCTAATGCAAATTACGTGTTGTAAAGGTTCTTAGATATGTTTGCAAGGATGGATCAAAAATATCTCCCAGAGGTTAGTTCGATTCCTGTCCGGTGTTTGACTTGACCGTGACAGGGCTGGGATGCCCTCACTCTTTTTCTGTATGGGAATTGTTTGGCCAGGGTGAGCTGATATTAATAGCACTTCTGTATCTATGCAGGTTGCCACTGGTGTTGGCAAGCATAAGTCAATACTGGATAACCACCTCCTTAGACAGTCCAGTGCCCTAGATCTCACCCTGCTCCATGACAGGCACACCATTCTGTTTGTTGCAGGATGCAAATTGCTCAGTGACAGTTCCTGTTCTAGCCCCGTACAGGAAGTGTTCCAAAGGGCAGGAGTCACAGCACCTGGGTTGCCGATTGCGGACAGAGTTCCACATTGTGCAGTGTGGAAAGGCTTGATCTCAGGAAAGGACCACTTACGGTTTTTATAGGGCAATGTGCAATTTATTTTTTAAGGTTGTTGGACCTTGACGTGTAAGTGAAGGTACACATGTAATTCATCATAATAATCAATTTTACTCCAGTTATACACTTACCTTTTTTAGAACATCGTTAGAAAAATGCATGATCTAATCTCTGTCAGGATGTCTGAATTGCAATTATAGTTGTGTTATCTTCTACATTTGTCAATACTGCATTCTTAGTGTAGTTGTGTTTATTACGCTGTAATTGGCTGTATTTGTGTATAATCAAAATATCCCTGCAGTTGTAATTTCAGCTAACAAGACTGCTGTAATTTTAATTACAACTGACCTGTGAGTCTGGTCTTACTGCTTTTCCATTATACCCCATGCTGTGGAGATAACGTCTGAAGTGTTCTCATCAGCTCTTTCTCTTGTTCTCCTGTTTTTCAGCAGGGTTTGCCTGCTCTTCACATCACCTTGCTTTGGTCATCCAGGACACCCATTTAACACAGTGGTCATCTTCTCTTAACATGAGCAATCACTTAGCTGATCGCCAGCATGGGACTGTCCAGTTCTGTGTCATTGACCCACCTCTACTCCCCTTCTGAAACCTCGGAATTTTTCCATGTCTCGTTTCACGGCATTTCTGTCTGGGTGCTCAGGTCCCGCCTGGCCCGCTTTCCGCAGGCAGTCGTGCTCGTTTTGTGACTCAAGCTCCCTGTTTGAATCTCAGGGTGTGTCTGTTTACTTAAGTCAAGACTAGAAAATATATGACCAAATAGTTCTACATGTCGCAGTTCCTTGCTTGTGTTCTTGCTAACAGCAGAGTCTAACAATATATCAGACTGATTCCTTCCAGTAGGTTGCGCATTTTAGTTTAACCTTAATAAATCAAGGAATTCGTGCCTTGTAAAATATCTGTCAACGACAGGAAGGATTTTTTTCTGTTTTTGCCTAACCCAAATGTGATAAATCTTTTGACTTTTTGACAACGCATACTGTATGCTGAGCTTTCCTGAGGCTCACTGCCACATGGCGGGATTCAAAGTTTATTTATTTGACATTTGATGAGTCACTTCCCTTGTCCGAAAAGCTCCTCACACCTGTACAGAGATGATTACAGGTAGATCTCACGGGCTCTAATTGCACAATAAATGCTATTTTCAGAGCCTAATGGTAGGCAGTCTGCTCTTGAGACGCCAGTCTGCGATCTTGCTGTCGCCAGGCTCCCTGAGTTTTTCTACAGACCAGTTGTGATGATGACATGGTTATAGCTTATTCAAAGCAAGCCATCAGACAAATTGCTATCTCAGCTTTAAGGAGCAAAAAGGAATTTGAAATATGACAAACAAGTGAGTTAATCATTTTGTGGAAATGTATTTAGACTGTAAGCATTTTTATTAAGTAATCAATATTCTTAGTTTTGGTTTTCACTGCATAGCTATACCAAAAATGCATGAGTGCTGAAGGTAGACTACTTGAACACTTGAAGGTGTACAGCTTTCCTAGAAAAATGAAGACTTGTTAGGCTACCAGAAATGCTCCTGAATTTGCGTGTCCGCTACATCAGCGTCTGTTTTTCTTGTAAGAAGGAAGCTGTTGTTTGTTCAAGAGTGCAAAGGTATTCGTAATCCAGGGGTCATGTAAAGAAACATTTTTGTGTGCATATGTTGTAAATACATTAAAAAAAATGAAAAGGCGACTCCTTGCTCGTTTGGATTTTAGTGTAATTGCAGTCAGGAGATCAAAGCCAGGCTAGTCGAGTGATGTTCCAGAGGAGAATTTACCACATAGCCATTTTTTCTGCACAGTTTCTGCCGCCTGCTGTTCCTATTTTCCCTCAAGCTAGCCATTGACTACCCCCTGCACATCCCTGCTCGTAAAAAATGATTGAGGAAGTATTTGTCATGTCTTTATGAGTGGGAAGCATTGCGTGATAGAGAATGGCATCTTGAAGAGCCGAAAAGAGATTGCTGTTTTCTTTTTTATTCGGTTGCTTTGCCATGGCTCCAGTTCTCTGTGTGCCGCAGTGCTCGTATTAGAGAGTATGAAGCAGATGAGTTCATCATTAAGAGAGCAAACAGTGGCAGCAGTTCATGCAACATCACAGAGGGTCAGTCTAACGTTTGGAAAACAGAAGAGTTCCCATCATATCCATCCATTTAGAGGAACATTAGCAGTCGGTTCATAGTTGCGTTTATTGTCTTTGAAAAGATTTTCGCCGTGATTAACCGTCACGTGACCTGTCTTTCCTTGGCAAAAGGTGAGCCAAGTGTGTTTGGTTTTGTAGGAGCCCTCAGTTGAATGTAGCACGCTCTCCTTTTTCATTTCCAGTGAGCTTCAAGCAAGCAATTTTCATCCTTTCAAATGACATTTTTGAGGGAAATTGGAAGAGGGCGGCTTTCAGCTTTAAAAAGTTCAGAATGTGAGGACTGGACATGTTCCAAGTAAGCCCCTCACCCGACTTACAATTAGCCTGCGAGGCGAAGCTGACAGTGTAGCTGTGCCAGGCGCTGGGCCTGTCTGCTCAGATGGTGAAATCTGGGGGTCGGGCTGTGGGGGGGAGGGGTGGCTGAATCGGTAGTCTCCTCCCAGCCTGGCCTGAAGGTGGTGCTGGTACAGTGTGGCTTGAAACTGGCACTCAAGGTGAGGAAAGATTTGCAAAGACCACTACTTTCAGTCAGCTCAGTCAGGCCCAACAGCTGTCAGCCCAAGTTTGGTTTTCCAGACCAAAGAGAAGGTGGAATACCACACACAAGTCCATACTTGGAAATTGTGCGTGAGAGCCCATTGATCCACAGGTGTTTACCGATAATAGTATTTTGACTTGCTAATAACTATGATCCAAAAAGGAAAAAAAACGCTGACGTCTGTGTTTTGAATTTGGGAGAGTACTTGGTAATAAATCAAAGTGAAACAAATTGGAATGGCATTCATGTTGTTTATAGCAAAGAGGGTGCAAATGTTGCCACACATTTGTCATTAATGTGTCTACGCGAGATGATCCTCATGTTTCATGTTAGGCAAAGGTAGTAGTTGTTTTCTCCTTGATTTGCAGACACCACTATTCAGGGTGAGCTACAGAATAAAAAGAGATTTAAAGTCCAAGTCCAAGAACAAGTCATTCAGGCAGAATAGGTGACCTCTGT